TTTATCCTCATACCAAGGACGTTTCATCGTTCGAATCAATAAATTTAAATGGTAATGTTGAAATGAACTATTTCCTTAAAAGAAATATTCGGTACTCATTGATTGAACAGTCAGCACTCATATCCTTTACTTTGGTTTGGTTTGGTTTGGTTTGTTTTACGGCATATCAATCTCAATGGGTTATTTTATGCCAACAACTTTCCTGGTAATATTTTCTTTTGTCAAAAATCTATTTCTGGTAATATTTTTATCTCAAAAATGTACAGCTGGTAATATTATTTTAAAAAATGTATTGCTGTTAATTTTTTTTTCAAAAACTAATTACTGGTAATATTTTTTTTTCAAAAATATGTTGCTGATAATAGTCTGTTTTTTTTTTTCTTCAAAAATTTATTTCTCGTAATATGCGACGATAGCTAAAGTAGAATCTATGGCTGATGCCAAATTGGTTGAGTTTCGATCCCGGCTTGAAGCAATCGTATGTCTAGCCACAATGATGAGCTGTGATACAGCGAAACAGTCTATCTGGTATTAAAACATATTTTTACACTTTCATAATGCTTTTTACCTCAGTTTTGTGGTTAACATAGCTGGGACCGTAACAGGTGCTACCACCCCGGGTTAGGGTGGACCTGGGAACACCAGCAATTAAGAGGTGCTTCCACGCTCCTCAAAAATATCTGATCAGAGGCCTTACTGCTTGACGTAGTTTATCGTCTTACCCAGGACGCGGATGTAGTTTATCGTCATACCAAGGACGGGTACGCATATAGGTTCAGATTTATAAAGTTTTTCTGTTAAAACAGTTTTTCTGTGAAATATATTTCTCAAGTTCGCAGACCATTAACGCTCTTTCTAATATTGGTGTCAGCTTAGTTTAGTTCCTAAACCTTTGCTTTGATGACCGATTCGGAAAGAAAACTACAGGAGAGCCTAGAGACGGTGATAGAAGAAAGCGAGAAGAAAGGACTAATCTTCAACTGCAAGGGACGGGTCGTTAGCAAGAAAAAAAGCCGAAGATGTGAGTCACGAAGTGGAGAGATAAATCCCACGCAAAAGTTTAAATATCTGGGAAGCGTTTTAACAGACAAATGTGACACCGAGATCCGAACACACATTGGACTAGCGAAAGAAAGATTTCAAAAGTAATCAGGGCGCTATGAAGCAGAAAAAGTAATTAGGAACAACGCAACGAGCGCTGGATTGCTACGTGATGTCCATTTTCTTATATGGTAGTTAATTTGGGACAATCTCTCTGCGGATGTAGAAAAAATAGAGAAAGGCAGTAAACATGTGGTTCTACAAAAGGATTCTGAAAATTCAATTGATGGAACGAGTAAGCGACAAGGAAGATTTAAAGAAATGGCAACGAAAAAAATAGATTTTTCTCAGAATCAGGAAAAGATAGCTGAAACTTATTGGACACATAATGAGGAAGTTGGTATTGGAAAACATAAACCTCACAGGGTATATCAAGGGCAAGATATGGAGAAAAGAAAACAAAACACTTACCTGACAGGCTATGATTCACACGAGATAGAAAGCTGTGTAAAATCATGATCAAACAGAAGAGGTCAACATCTTGATTACATCATTATTCTGTCTTCAAATTACATCTGCTATCCGTTTTATATGTTACTACTGTTGGAAGTCATCATGGGACAAAAGTCCTACATTTGCACAATGTTTTAACTAATTGTAACTATTAATATAACTTGAAATAACTACTTTTAATATTTCCAGATCTATTTGAATTTTATGATGAATCATAATTCTTATCTTAATGAATGCAAGATCTCCTCGTGAGCTCTATGGCGATAAAATACTCCTGGAAATTCACCTCTTGCATCGTTGTATATTTGTGCTTAACAAATGTAAAAAAGATATTGCAATAACAAACATAAGTATGAATGTAGGTCATTTACATTTTTTTTTCCATTTCACTGAAGCAGACGTTAAAGAGACGGAAGCGTTATACCTTCCACTCTCTCTTCGCTTTCCTTTTTTCTTTCTTTTCTTTCCTCATTGAAGGCAAGCAGCATCTCTGATATATCTTTCCTTGTGGCGTCGTTTTCAGACATTTTCCAAAGGCACGGCACGCTGGGATCACTTCCCTACATCAAAGCCACGTTCTTCAATAATCGAAGATAGTGACTCTCGAACCAGGGTCTCGTGATCGGGAAGCGACACACGCACACACACACACACACACAAAACACACACACACGCACAAAGGCGCGCGCACACACACACACTCACACACGCACGCACGCACATACATATATGTACACTGCGTGCCAAATTATTATCGAGGTAACTTTTTCTAATATTTCAAAAACCGTCCAATCAATTCACACAATGTTGGCAACACTGACCTGCGCAATCACTGAAATTTTCTTACTGATCTGCGCAATGTAAACAAACTGGCGCCATATTTGTTATCAGCACGGTGATTTGAGCGTGCCAAATTATTAGAAAGGTTTAGTAAAATTCCCAGAATTGAGCAAACAAAACGTTTATTAATGTTGCACGTGAATGTTTATGATCAAAAGAAGCTAATAAATAAGATGATCAAACAAATAATAACAGATAAAAAAAGGGACAGTTTTAAACAAATTAATAGGGAATGTGTTTTCCCTGTTTTGAAATTACTTGAAAAAGTCGACGATCCATAGAATTGTAGGATGTCATCTACTGTAATGACGCGGGATATGTCAAGAATTGCTTCCCACAACTCAGCGTTGCTCCTAAATTGTCGTCCGTTGGCGTGCAGTCTTCGCTTCATGATGATCCAGTTTTCGATTGGGTTGAAATCCGGAGAATTTGCTGGCTAATTCATTTTTCGAGGTCCATCGAAGCCTAACTGTTTCAAATATTCAGTAGTCTTGTGAGCAGCATGTGAGGGAGCATTATCTTGCATAAAAACAATGGCCCTTCTGAAGGCAACTCTTTGCATTTTCATCTACGGTTCAAGATGCTCCTTCATAAACGCTATGTATGCATCAGCAGTCATTTTGACGCCATCTGGTACTCTCCATGGGCCCACTAATATTTTTCCAATAATACCACCCCAGATCATTATGCCTCCACTGCCTTGTTGGCGTCTCAAATGCTGATGGCGATTCTGTCCGTTCATTACCCAGCCTTTGCACCATCTATCTGGCCTATCAAGTGTTGCTCGAGTTTCGTCTGTGAACAAAACTTTAGAGAAGTCAATCTTTATATTGTCCTCGGTCCATTTCAATCGATTTTGAATGTGATTTCTCGTCAACGGAGGCTTCGATACAGGTTTGACTGTTGTTGCTATTTCCCTCAGATACCGACACCGTTGTGAGCTCTCCTATCTACTGATGTCTAAAGACGTTAAAATTTCTCTTCCGCGCGACGATAGCTTGGAAGTAGAATCTCTGACTGATGCCAAATTGTTTGAGTTTCGATCCCGGCTAGAAGCAATCGGATGTCTAGCCACACTGATGATATGTGATACAGCGAAACAGTCTATCTGTGGATGACTATATATATATATATATATATATATATATATATATATATATAGTTCCAAGGAACTGAGCTGCTTGGTCCTCATACGTCGGATATGACGGGAGAGTCCACATATATATACATATATATATATATATATATATATATATATATATATATATATATATATATAGCTGTGATGATACTCACCCACATTGTTTCATGGATCCTATTTCGGCGTTATTAGTTGTAATTTAGTCTGTTTATTTGTGTCTTAGCAATAAGGTTAGTAATATTTTTCTTTAATTCTATGAATGTTTCTATTATTGAAGAGGGAATACAATTTTTTTTATAGTTTGTTCTATTTACAGTAACAAACATACAAACATATTAAACTTTTCTCTCTTCCTAAGCATTATATTTTTTGTTAATTTTATGACAAACAAAATGAAAAATCTATTAAAATATATACAGTTTGCTGGTGTGCGTTGGATTTGCAGGTGCGAAAGATTGAAGGCGACCTTTATAGCTTTCATGAAATAAAGATTATTACCTATGTTATTTTAAGTGATTGGTATTCATTTATTAATAATTTTGGTCTGTTTCGAAATAGAGCTTTCCTTGGACCTTTCTCCTCTTGAAAATTCCATACATATTACCATTTCCATTTTATTATATATATATATATATATATATATATATATATATATATATATATATAGACAACAAAACTTCGAGTTGATTTTGCAAATGGCATCAGTATTAAAATAAATATGACTTTTTGAAAAAAGCACATATGTTAAGAATTCTCTAGAAAAATATCTGCCGCTCTATCGTACATTTTTTTCTTTAAAACTTGCTACCATTTCGACATATATGTATTTAGAGAGAAAGAATATACATATATATATAGAGAGAGAGAGGGAGAGAGTTACATATATATATATATATATATATATATATATATATATACAGAGAGAGAGAGAGTTTTTTTTTCACTTTATCATTCATTTGCATAACATTGTTCTGATATATGAAAATTATATATCGCATTCTCCTCTCCCACACTCACACACACTCACACACAAATATATGCACGGATACACACAAACACACACACACACACACACATATATATATATATATATATATATATATATTCATCATCATTGAATTTTTTAACAAAGCCACGGATCTACGCATGCTCAGAAGTATGGGAGATGTCATAAAGTATTCTTCCATATTAAGAGCAGGAATTCCATGTCATGTCATCGTGAATTTTATAATATCAAATGAAGGATTATTTTCATTTTTCTGAAAAACCTTTCTGAGGTAATATCAAACGTATTTTTTTTTTTTTTAAAAAAAACCTGTTCAGAAGTGAATCATTTTCCAACAGCCAATTATGATGAAATGGTTTATTACGCTAAATATTTTTTTGTCCAAATTTTGAAAACAGAATTTCATATCTATTTTACTTTGAATTAATGCCGTATTTGTATCCGCCAATCTGCAGTTGAATGATCTCTACTCTCCCTCCCACTTTCCCTCGCATCTTCTCTTTCTCGCTCACCCCTCTCTCTCAACATCCATATTATTTTCGCCTTCTTTCTCTCTCCTCAACAAACTTATTTTTCTTTACACATTTTTATTTGTCGTTGAAAATAATCTCGCCAGTTTTCAGTATTTCATTTTACTCCCCTTTTCCTTGTTATCTTTTTTTATTTTGTTTTCTTTATTTTTATCTTTCTTTCTCTGTTTGTTTCGTTCTCTCCGTTGTAGCATAGGAAAGGTTATTGAATGAGAAATAACCAAAGCGGAGGTTGGAAATGAAATGGCAATCTTTATAACATCAACAAAAGAGAATACTCGCCAGCAGCGTGAAGTAGGTAAACCACTGTTAGTGCTAGACTACTCAGGCAGCATATTATCCCCACTTACAATAGTGTCCAACGTATGACAATTGGGGCATACCCATTAGTGTTCATAGGTATAGTATATATCACTATCATTCTTTCTTTCTTTCTTTATTTCTTTCTTTCTTTCTTTCTTTCTTTCTTTCTTTCTTTGCTTTTGAATCTCTTCATACACTACAGTTTAATACTTTTACCCTTTCAATTTTTAATAATTTTCATTATTATATTTTTTCTTTACGTATATATTTTTCTTTTTTCTTTCTTTTGTTTTTTCCCGCTTTCTTCATTCTTTCTTCATTTCTTTCCTTGTTTGTTTGTTTGTTTCTTTCTTTCTTTTTGAAACACTTCATACACTGAAATTTAATATTTTTACCCTTTCAATTTTTAACAATTTTTATTATTATATTTTCTCCCTACATATATATATTTCTTTATTCTTTCTTTTGTTTTTCCTACTTTCTTCATTCTTTTTTCATTTCTTTCTTTCCCTCCTTCCTTCCTTCTTTCCTTCCTTCCTTCCTTCCTTCCTTCCTTCCTTCCTTATTTCTTTCTTTCCTTGCTTTTGAAACGCTTCATAAACTTCAGTTTAATATTTTTACCCTTTCAATTTTTAATAATTTTCATTATTATATTTTCTCCCTATGTATATATATATCTTTTTTCTTTCTTTTGTTTTTCCTGCTTCCTACATTCTTTCTTCATTTCTTTCTTTCCTTATTTCTTTTTTCTTCATTGCTTACTTTCTCTCTTTCTGCATTTCCTTCTATCTTTAAGAAATAATTTTTCGTATTTTTATCCATCTTCACATTTCTCATTAGTCTTTTTTCTTTCTTAGACCCATTTTTTCTTTCTTTTGTTGCTTCTTTCTTTGCTTATTTCTTCATTAATTTCTTTGTCATTTCTTTCTTTCCTTCTTTTTTTGTTTCGTTTTTCTTTCCTTAAAAATTACTTTTTTCTATTTCTAACAATCTTCACATTTCTTATCATACTTTTCTCTTTCTTAGATCTATTATTTCTCTCTTTCTTTTATCTTTCTTTCTTTCTTTCTTTCTTTCTTTCTTCGTGTCTTTCTTTCTTTCTTTCTTTCTGTCTTCATATTTTTCTTTCTTTCCTTATTTCTTCATTCTTTCATTCTTTTTTCTTTCTTTCTTCACGTCTTTCTTTCTTTCTTCATGTCTTTCTTTATTTCTTTCTTTCTTTATATCTTTCTTTCTTTCTTAATATCGTTCTTTCTTTCCTTATTCCTTCATTCTTTCCTTCTTTCTTCTTTCCTCATGTCTTTCTGTCTGTCTGTCTTTCTTTCTTTGTTTCTTTCTTAATATCTTTCTTTCTTTCTTTCTTTCTTTCTTCATATCTTTGTTTCTTTCCTTATTTCTTTATTTATTCGTTCTTTTTCTTTCTTTCTTCATTGCTTTCTTCCTTCCTTTTTACAAATTATTTCATTATATTTCTATCCTTCTTCACATTTGGCATCCTCCTTTTTTATTTATTCATTTCTTTTCTTTCTTTCTTTCTTTTTTCTTTTATACATTCAGTCTTTCCATTTCTTGTTTATTTTAGCGTTCCTACCCATCCATATCATCCTCTTTATTACTCTGATCTTTTTCATAATTACTTTCTCTGCAATTTTCCCTCTTTTCGTTTTAATCATTCCAATTATTTATTTCCTCTCCACCTGTGAAGAGAAAACATACGTTTATCGCAAATACTTCGACGGACAACAAAAGAACAAAACAGCTAATAAATAATTTACTTAAAATAACCGACAGCAGCCAATACCATCTCCGCCGTGACATGATTCACGAAGTTCTCAATGTACCCGATATCCTTGTTCATTGTTATTTTATCTTTAAATGATTTACACAGTTGATGTGTGATATTTCCACCAGCAAGAGAAAAAGCTCAACAAGCGAGTTGCATAATGGAGATGTGATCATAAAATAAAGACAGAAGTTTAAATATCTGGGAAATGTATAATGTCAGTCAGTTAAGTGTCATACGTGAAACAAGTTTGGGCGATTATGTCGCTTGCGATTCATAAGTGACTAGGCAGATTTTTTTTCTCACAGTAGGTTGCTGTTACTTTATGCAGTAGAATATTTGCTAACCAAAGCTACAAGACCCAGTCTGTCCTGCTATTTACTCTATAGCTGGGAGAGAAGAGATGGATTCGTAACATTCCCAATGGTATTTGAGCGTAAGTGAATGTAACGTAAAAGAAAAGCGAGTTGAAAATGAGACATTCAATTGGTAAGCGAAGTGATAAGAAACAGAAGAAAAAGAGTGTTGTATTCTTTGTGATAGCCCCATCTTCTATGACAGTAAGCGCAAAACAATCTTAGCAGAGATGAGAAGAATCCTACAGGCAAAAGGAATCTTGTTCTACAGAAGGATAATGAGAATACCAGGGATGGAACGAATAAAGTTTAAAAATAGGAACAAAGAACACTGAGAGAATGGAAACAAAAAGAGGACGCATTATTTAACATCAGGAAGAGGCAGCTGAAATTTCTGGGACAAAATGAGGAAGGAGAACTTGGAAAATCTGATACTCATAGATAAAGAGAAAGAAAAACAGAGAAAAGCCGCGCGTAACGTAGATAAAGGGCTTCAGAAAATGGATGGCATGACAGAAGATATAACGAAAAGACGATTAAGAGCTACAAGGTGTTAGAAAATGTGGAGAGCTATGATTTTCTCCGTCCTGAATGGATATGGTACATAAAAGAAGACTCTATTCAGAACCAGAAAGAAACAGCTGAAATTACTTGGATACATAATGAGGAACGAGGGCTTGGATAATCTGAGGCCCACTGGAAATATTGAGATACAGGAATGCAGCGAGCCACCTACCTAACTAGCTTGTGCGAATGGATGGAAACTGGGGGCGAGAGACTTAGAAAAGGAAAAAATAAAACTAAGGTCCACAATAGACAGGAAGTTTTGTGGAAACATGATCACCCATGTCCTGAAGCGATGCATTTAACTTTTTTAAATTTGTCTGTGTGTAAATCAGTCATCTTCGTGTCAAGTGGAAAATATCGGCGAACCAAACCCGAGGGATTAGCAGAGTTTTGTGAAATCTAGTATACAATGTGTGAAACACTAATTGTCCAAATCGTGTAGCAAAAAACTTCTCCAATAGTAAGATTATGCTTTGAATCGTTGTATCATAGAAATGATTAATGATATCTAACTGGAATTCTCTCTACTTTGAGCAATAAAAATGTATAATTGTTCTCCAAGCATAACAGAATAATCGTGATGAATTCGATCATGAACGAAACTGACATGTTCATCCTTAATTAATCATAGCTAAGGAAGCTCATGAAAGATTGAAATAAAGTTCAAACATATATATATATATATAGATACACCTAGTGAGCCAAACAAACATACCTAGGATCATCAGGGAAACGAGTCTAGTTATCTATATATATATATATATATATATATATATATATATATATTCCAGTATCATTTCCCAACTTATTCAAGATGATCTTCGCCCTCTCTAACCTTCTAAAATTTTGTCCTGGAGTCAAAAGATGCTTTATACGTTTCACGTACGATTTCATTTTCAAGTCTTTTTTCACTGTTCTTCGGCCTCATTGGTGAAACTCCTCTCTCACGTACCTAACGTCTTGTAGTTTGAGTTCGATCTTTTCTAATTGATCTTTGTAGCTCTAATCTGCTGGGACCTCTTGATCTAGTTTACCACTCTACTGTTACCTCTTTTTTAAACATATTCACCGTTCTCTTTGTAATTGTCGTGAGCAAGATACGCGATATCATGCCTGAAAACGCCCACACATTGCATGCGTATATTGTCTCAGAGCAATTAAAAGAAAAGAAAATTAACGGAGTGCACCTACGCATATGTAAAACTCTCCAGCTCAACCAATCGGCTGCTTCGTAATGGTCTGAAGGCTTTGGCATTGGGAGCCGAGGGAGCCGACGAACAGGCTGAGAGACGATTGCCCTGAACGAGAGACGACTGCCCTGTTCCAGCGGGTCTTTTTTGGCGTAACTGTTACACTCTTGATGGTTCTTGAATGGACTTTGAAGATGTTAGCCGGAGTACGAATTTTGGTACCATTATGTAAAGGCCTGAATGACCATTTCTCTCATTTCTCAGTTGAAAAGACAAAAAAGGGTGACACAAAATGATTTTAACTTGTTCTTTTTCCAGTTGAATAACTTTCAGTGATTCTTACGAGAAATGTTGTCAAGATGTATAAACTTATTATCTGAAAAACTGGGAAAAGGAAAATTAGTGTGCTTTTAGATATTAAAAATTTTGTAGGAAGGCCATTTACGCTGTTACACTATTTGGACAATTTTGCTGTTACAACCGCTATATATATATATATATATATATATATATATATATATATATATATATTTAAAATTTAAAATTCAAACTCAGCGTTGCGACCGCACGTTCCAAAAAAATAACACATTTCTCATAGCATTTTTTCGGATTACATCTCTATCTTCGTTGTCCTGTTATTACAGAGATGTAAAAACAAGAATTAATTTACTTCCATACCTGAGGATGTCTGTAGGACCAGACGAAAGCTTGTAAAAAATTAAAAAGAGCTTATGCAACTGGAATTTATAAACAGGGATCATATCATTCATATACAGGTTCGTGGTTGGTGTATCTTATTGATATTGTTTTGTGAAGATGTATTCTCGCCATTTTTACCTCTATATTTGTTTTTTTTGTATGAATGATTCATAAATTTATATATATTTATATATAAATTTATATATATATATATATATTTATATATATATATATATACACATACATATATATATATGTGTGTGTGTGTGTTTATATATATATATATATATTTATATATGATAACAATGGACACCCATGGATTCAATGCTCAACAGTATTTCTAGTTCATTCTTTTTATGTTTATACCTTACTGATACTTCAGTTCAGCTGAAGGTTAAACATCAAGCAGCATTTAGTTCAGTTGACGAGATTTTGAGTTGGAAGCTTTGATCGAACCTCGTTGTTAAATCTTGGATCACGAAGAGGGACCAAACAAGATTTTTTAAAGTTCATTAGAGCTTCATGTCGAAATTGTCCAACGCAAATGAAAAACACAACATGCAAATAAAAATTGTAAGTTGATTTTCTTTTCTCTTCCATATTTCATTTTCTGTTGAAGTTTCAATAAATGCAAAACAACTTAAATTTATAATCGTTACCGATTTGTTCCAGGATCCTGTCATATACACTACAGCGCCCCATGAAAATATTTGTAGAAATGCAGAGGGAATCCACATCACGTATGTGAGAAATTAACCGTACACGAGATGCCATATCAGGACAAAAGTATAAAGTACATTGCATATATACGACAAAAATAAAATGATGATAAAAATGGAAATATTTATGTGAACTGTGACTATAGAATAATAACAATAATAATAATAATAATAATAATAATGGTAAAATATTAGTAGTAATAGTAGTAGTAATGGCAAAGAGAAAAGAAAATGTTCCTTAAATAAATATTCAATATGTAAACATCGACATGGTGGTGTATGCATGGTTTGAAAATAACAATGGAATTAGACACATACAAGAATATAAGATAAACATACACGGTTGCATTGTTTGCTTTTAGTTTTGTCAATTGCACAGTATAGTGAGAAAAAAAGAATGATGATGCTATTCAGTCCGTCAGATATTTGGAAATGTCATGCTGTACTGCTTGGCATTCGTACCGTAAGCTCTAATACAAACATTTCATAATACTTGGGTGCCAATCTTTGGACAGTGCAGAGGATTCGCAAAGAGTTGGATGAGTCTAATGATGTTTACAAAGGTACGGCGGCTCGGAATATTCACCCTGATCGTTTTGAAAGTAAAGAACTCGCGAATTTGTTCGCGGGGGACTCAAATTCATCACGGAAGGCTTCAAGTGCCTTGAGTAGGTAGTACTGCCCTGGTTAATGAGAGTGGTTGCTGGAAGACCCTACGTCTAGCAACATGACTCTGCACAATATCACACACGCAAGAGAAACCGGTAATGGCTGTCTGACAATTTCCGCGACCACATCAGCCCTTACACCTAGCCAGCTAACTCCCAAGACTGTAATCATCTTGAGTGTGTGGCGCAGTTAAACGAGAGAACACAAAAAGACACCTTGTAACACCAAAGATGAATTGAAGGCAAGCATTATGACAATATTCACAAACTTAAACAAGGAGACCGTTGATAAGAAACGCTGGAGATTACGAGGTCGTCTGGAGGTTTGGTTAAAGCCAATGACGATGTTATTGAATAAATTTTCTCTTTAGTATTTCAAGATGTTTTTATGTCATTTTTGTAAATATAGCTGTTAAAATAGGACGGCAGTATATTATCATTTTTGCGAAATTTTGATGACAATTTGTCGATCGTACCCTGTAAATATCACCCAACATTTATTTTGAATGATGCAGTCGAGTGTGAGATTAAAACAGCTACGCACCAACAGACTTGTTACTATATTCTTTCTAGAATTATTTTCCATCTCAATATAAGGAAAATAATTTACATAGGTAAAACTGGAGTTATACAGGGCGTTCCAAATGTCTTGGAAACATTTTGACATTGAATATCTCGAAAAAAGGATATAAAAACACGCCTGACATATTTTGAAAGAATT